CTTTCTGGAAAAGTGAAACATAAAATGTGCATCTACTATCTGATGATCACATTTTAGCACCTGGAGACTCCCACTGTCAGCATTTAACAACTACAGTTCCCATGAGTCTTACTATTTTTACTGGGATCTTTATCAGTCAAACTTTATTGTGTAGTACCTTTCATACATACAAAGTAAAGTGTGTGTTCTGTGTGTGTGTGTTGAAGGTGTGAGGACATGGTGGACGTGAGGAGGCTGAAGATGCTACAGATGGTCCAACTGTTCAAATGTGAAGAAGATGCTTTACAGGTAGGACACACACACAACAACAACAACAGCACACACAAACCTAAGTACCATCTATATTGATGAGATAATGCGTGTGTGTGTGTGTGTGTGTGTGTGTTCAGGCAGTAGAGTGGCTTGGCGAGCTGTTGGACGCCCTGTTGAAGACTCACGTCAGACTGGGTGAAGACACTCAAGAGACCAGGATCATGCTGGACAAACATAGGAAGTTTGTGGACGTTGCTCAGGTGAGACACTTCCAGACTACTCATAGTCACTTAATCTATTGTTAATGTTAAGATATTGATGAGAGCAGCAATTTTATTTTAGACCTTGCCTGAATAAAGAGCGTCCCCAGAAGATGTATGAAAATTAACCTTTTGCGAGATATCACACAGCAAAGGCTCATCAGGATCTGTCTCCTTCAGCTCAGCCAGCGACAATAACTTGGTACTAAAGCTTGTATTGAGCCCCGACACACTGACTGTAATCAAAACTGCAAAATTACAATATTGAATTATCCACAGCGATGGTAGTGGCTTTGAGCTAAATCATTTTGCAGTTATTTATCAAAGTGCTAGTAATTCAGTAAAGTAATTCAGGCTGTAGCAGATATCAATGTCTGAATCAAGTTTCATGGTAATCCATCCCATAGGTGTTAAGACATTTAAGTATGTACTGAAGTGGTGGAGAACTGTGCTGTTAGTATGGCTAAAAAATTAAAACTAGGATGAAATCATTCTGAAAACAAAAGACAGACATACTGACAATAACTCCGTCTCTCTGTTTGTCTCTGTGTTCCGTGCTGTCTTTTCCTTCAGAGCACCTATGATTATGGCCGTCAGCTGCTGCAGGCGACCGTCGTCCTCTGTCAGTCTCTGCGCTGTACGACGCGCTCGTCTGGAGACACTCTGCCGAGACTCAACCGAGTCTGGAAACAGTTTACCGTCAGCACTGAGGAGAGACAACAGAGACTAGAGCTGGCTCTGACCTTCCACACTGCCGCTGAAAAGGTGAGCCAGGCTGAGAGAGAGACCTCACTGTATTATTATTATTATGTGTTATATAGTATAAGCTGATACTGGGTAGAAATTAAAATGTGTAGTGGACACACACTCCTTATACTTGTAGTATAAATTTGGCTTCAGTACGTGTGTTTACTGTGTTTCAGGTGTTACAGCTGGAGTGTGTGGATGCGGAATCTCTGGATGAAGTCGACTCTTCAGGGAAAACTCTGCTGGACAAACTGACCATGCCTGTTATTTTCCCTGATGGGTACTTATACACACATGCACACACCAATCAGTTTTTGTCACTTGCACCGGAGACCCTCACCTCAGCCATAACCGCTACATGTCTAACCCCAGTCCAATTCTTTAACCTGCGGAAACTGATTTCTTTTGGCCTCTTGAGGTCAGCAGAAACAAACTACGAACACAAGACCTGCATTTGCATATCACCTTTTAAGTTGGTATGGCAAACTAGCAGTTGCATCACAGTTACACATTTAGCAGATATACGGGGAAACATTAGCATTTATTTGGGGTTAGTGTGTCTGGCTGCCTGGCAAATGTAAAGCCTGATTTACACTCCTGCATCAAATTTACAGTGATTTTGGTGATGTTATTGGCAGAGCAACGCAGACATATCAGCACACAGGTATAAACATACACAGCAGCGTAGGTCACTGCCATAGGCTCAATGTAAAGCCTGTGTACAACCACTTTTGGCTCTTTAACTGCTAAATGCTCTACTATGTTTACCAGCTAGTCGCTAACTGTGTCTGCATGCTGTTCTGAGCACGTAGTGGGTTTTAAGACTTTATAATTTAGAACAGCCACTTGCTGCATCCAAAAGCGACACTATGAGAGTGGTGAAAGTTAACCAAAACAGTAAAATTGTGAGCCAGAAAACAAAAACAATGATTTAAGGAGAGCGTTGGTCCATGGTTTGAATCCAAATGAGGACCCTCACTGCATGTTTGGTGTTAATTGTCTTTTGTTACTACGAGTGACTCCTTCCACACACAAGTAGTCATGCATTGTTAATTTGAAAATATAGATTATATTAAACCTTAAGTTCAATGATCTTCCAGCTTTTTGTCCCCACATGGGAGGTTAGTCCCCATAGTGTGAGTGTGTTGACAGGTTTTTGTGATAAATAAAACAACCCACACACATTTCATATAATACAAACTCCTCACTCAAATTGGTGTTTCAGGAGCGAGCAATACTTTGGGAGTCCCAGCGAAACAGCAGCGGCAGCAGAGGGTGTCAGAGAGCGCCTCCTGCTGGTGGAGGAGCGACGGCTGCAGCTGCAGGAAGCGAGGCTTCATAATGACGAGGAGGAGGAGGAGGTGCTTAACGGGCAGGAGGCACGGCTAGATGTGATTGGAGAGGAACTGAGCGAGAAAGAGGAGCAAGATGAGGAGGACAAGGAGGAAGCGGGGCAACAGGATGAAGATTTAGAGAGGGCTACGCAGGACTGCTAATGGATCGCTGATGACGTTAAACCAAGCAGCCTTAATGAAGCTCGTTAATGAAGGGCTGCTTATTAATTTCCACCCAAAACCGCTGATTTGGTCTCTCCGAGCCAGAAAGCCATCGATTGGCTGCTTCTGTCTCCCTGCAGCAGTAGATTAACACTACATTTCCCATCAGCCTCGCTGCTTACCCTTCCTGAAAGAGCGTAAACATGTTGGATGTGGTTTCTCTGTTGTTCTTTCCCTCCCTTCAGCGGAAACTGTGACAACTTTACCACTGTTTGCCCTGCAAGAACAGCGCCCTCTAACTGTTTTTCTGCCAGTGAGCGATTCAGCAGATTTCCTTCTAAATGTGACCCAATGGATCACAAATGTAAAATACTGGAAATATTTACTGGAATTATTAATACTCATGTCTCGCGATTCCGATCAACTGTAAAATAACCAGTTTGGATAAGAATACTCCTAATGTACGTCTAACACCATCTCCTTCTTCCCAGCATGCTACTAGTTCACCTACGTGGATGGAGCTTCCATGGTGCTAACATGGTTACCAAGGTTTCTGTCTGTGCCTCTTCCAACTTCCCACTAGATGAGTTACAGTTGCTTTTCCTTCATTTCATTTCAATACCTGCTAAGTCATTGGGAGCTCTCACACACTGAGCTGTGTTTGTCCTGCTGTACACAAAGGGGGGAGTCTAATATGTTTTTAATGGGTCCAAATGTGCTAATGGCAAATGACCAGATAGATATATTATACTATTTCAGTGCCTGTCCACGCAGATATTGCACCAGTCAAACTACAGCATCACAGTTGGTACCAAAACTTCACGCCCACTGGAACATCAAAGATAGGGGGCACTAACTCAAAAGTTAATCAAATTTAAATTTCTTCTTTTTGGTACATTGCTCAGGAGGTGTCATGAAGTTTTGCACACGTTTTAATAATTCTTGCACTCAAATATCTGGGCTCATGATTTAGCTTAAATGTATTTTACAGGATTGTTTCAGTGTAGAAACTTTAATACTGCAGATGTCATCCAGTTCCATTAAAACCTTCAGTTCAGTGTTACGGAAGCGCTTCATAAATGTCTTTTTCACCTTTTTCAAACTTCCGGCTAACTAAATGCACAGCACCAAAGGCGTTGCCTTCTGCTGCTCTCTACAGGATGGGAGGTAGGAAGATATGTGATACTAATTTAGAGCACAGCTTAAATAACTTGAGAGCATGAATTATTACATTTTGTGTAATAATTACTTTTCTGACACTTCCCAGCCTCCATATTTTGACAATTGCAGATTTCACCGAATAAATACGCCAGTGGAAACACACACCAAGGAGATATATTGATTTGGTTGATTTAAAAGTCTGACATTAATGCAGCCATCTTCCAAGTACCCAGAGGCTCCGACATCTTTGCTGCTCTAAACAAACCCTCTGCCTTCATGATGGAAATCAAACCTGAGCTGCTTGCTCTGGTCCACACTGACCACAGGGACTGAGGTGACCTCCAATGGCGGTCCAGTGTGCAGACTGGGAGCGCTCAGACTGGTGGTCATTTGCTGATATAGTGACATCAGATCAGATTCCTTTTTCTATTTATTTGACGTTTTCCAAGCAAACGTTGATGTAACTGGTTGGTGTTTTTGACCAATAACTGCTGCTGTAAGTGTAACCGCTAAATACTGCGTCTTGCTTTGTCCTCTCCGTACAATGACATACAGTAGGACATCATTCTCTAAATAAAGAAGCATTTTGAAGTTGATGAGTCATTTTTTTTTTCTAGTTTTACACTTTTCAAATAATTGCTGAAAATTCTTACATTCAAAAAAATTAAACACAGAACAAAGAATAACCTACAGTTTACTCAGTGGATTAACATAGAATAAGTATTTTAGTCTGCTCTCTGCTGTAATCTGAGCTTTCAAATGTATGAGATACCTGGTTTACATAATAGAGATACATGGTGCTATATTCAAAAAACATCCTAAGGCTAAAAGTAGTTCGGGACTCGTCAGACTCAAACTTTAAGACTTGATGGCTTTAATGCTAAAAGTAAATTAAGAGGCATTGGATGCAGTCCAGAAAACTCCTGAATGGCTAAGACCTGCTCACTGTCTGTCAGCTGCAGCAGGTGATGGAGGATTCCTGAGAAACTCAGTAATAAAAAATACTTACTACTACTACTACTATTCAGTAAACCTGCCCACACAATCAGCCACAGTGACTCATTCGAATACCAACACACAACTATTGTAGTTTCCAAATGAAGTTTATTTAAAAAATGTTTTTAAACTACTTCCACACTAACTGTTTAAACATGGAAATATTTGAATTTATTATTCTATCTTTTCTTAAATTGACATTATTACATAATACCTTATATGCCGACATTTGTACACATAACATTTTATACACAGTAAATCATGAATTCTGTAGCAGTACTTTTTTTAAGCTATTTCTCATTGATGTAAAGAAGCTGCAATCTATTATAGCTATAAGTTAAGTAGCCTTGTAAACTGTCATGAAAGTTTGCCCCCGTTCCAGGAGCCTGAGTGGGTGCTTCAGGGTGGTGTTGATGTTGATGGAGCAGTACTGCAGAGCTGAGATCATGCACATGGTGGTGGAAGTCTTTAAAGTGTTAGTTCATGGTGAAGGTCATCTCCGACTCTCCTTGTCCAGAAGGTCTTTGGCCTCGTTGATCTTAGCAGCGAGAAACGGTGATCCACCTGCACACACACACACACACACACACAAGTTTTAGTCTAATGCTGAGTCTGAATGCCATGTATCTGACGCTCTACACACGAGGGCCACTGCTTCTCCCATTTGAAAATGTGAAAATGTCCTATATTATAATAACATCAGCACCACGCAGGCAGACTTCTTTAAGAAAGCCTGGCTAAAAACAAACGCTGTACAAATATTCTCTGTTCTAAGAATGGGATTCACAAACCGGTTCCAAAGTAAACGGCGGTTATACAGTGTCACATGCATTCCTTCTTACTAATGTTCAGACTCTAATAAAACACTTGGACGGTGAAAACTTGCACCTCCTTTTTTTCCACATAGAAAATGAATGAATGAATTAATCAATAATGGAATTGACCAATGAGCAGAATTGATAATGGCATCAGTATCAAAATCTTACCAATTCCCATCCCTAAATTTGAGCCAACGTTTGTCTCTTGTAATCATTTTCTGTGCTTTTGACATTTCACACATCATACAAAACCCAACTGCAGTCTTACAGATGGCTGACCTTTGTAGTTTAAGCTTACCTTTATCTGGATGGTTCAGGACCATGATCCTCCGATGGGCCTCACGTACCTTGGTCTTAGTGCTGGTTGGGCTGGATAATGAAATAAGTAATACATCTATGTGAGCAATAATTACTGAGAGACAGACACACACACTGACGTACTTATTAGTGTATTATATATATTATTATATATATTAACTAGAACACATTCTAGTACCTGATGCCAAGAATGAGGCTGGCCTCTCGTTTACACATCTTCTGATTAAAACCTCCTTTGTAATATGATGAGAAAGCCTGTGGTGACAGAAAAGGGTTAGAGCTTTGATTCTCAGTCTCAACCAAAACCTTAATTTTATTTATTCCATATTTTTCTCTCTCAAAATCAGAGAATATGAAACAATTCCAGGGCGTTCTCAGATTATCTTCCTGTGCATGGAAACTAGACATTTAAACATCACAGTGGTTCATGGTTGTGATTTCTAACACTTGTTTTTAAAGGCAGACTCTCTTAACATTGAGGGGCATTAATAATAAATAATACATATCACACATCAATAAATAACTCACTGAAGAGGGCATCTTCTTGACAGTTTCAGAGAAGACTTGTCCAAGAGGCTTCCACAGCTGGAATGCATAGCGGCCTGTGGATTAAACACATCCATGTAACCGTCTCAAACCAAACTCATTTCTAAATGCAAAGGGAGCAACACACAACAAAAGACAGAGTAAACATTCTAGTGAGTAAAAGTCAACAAAAAACTGAAAAGGAATACTGTACATACACATCCAGGTAATAGCATCTTAGCAAATTAAGGATGCATCAAACTTACCAGCAAAACCCGCAGCAGCCACACCAAGACCGACGGCGATCAGAGTGCCTCCCTGTCACCGAAACAACACATGCAGCCGTTACCACTCCTGATTGTGTCATTTTATTTATATTTATATATTATTATTATTATATATTTAAAATATGTCCTACATATGATTGTGTAGGCTAGTCTAACAAAACAAGGTGTTTCTATCCAAGTTAGCTCATCTTCATATGAAATGACTTGGTAATAAAACTAGGTCTGTCCACAAAGGTAGAACTGCAGAATGAGCATCTTGTGTGCAGCATCTTCTGATTTTGGCATCACAATATATAAAGTGCCATACATATATATATATATACATATACATATATATATATACATACACATATATATATATATACATACACATATACATATATATACATACACAT